CGTACGCGATCCATTGTAATCTCACATGAACAACAACATTTAAAGGCCTTGAATAGCTTAGAACCTATTTTTAAAACTAACAATAATAATCCAAAGGGTATATGGTTTCATAACGGTGGCATAAGTGTAAAGTTAATAATCTTAACTACTCGTGTTTAAGATTTTACAATGATGTTGACTTACATCACGAAAAACCAATTTTAGGTGCTTGACTGATGGTGCTGGGGTTATGGGTGACTATGATGGTTCAGTGTGTGTACATGGCTTCGGTAGAAATGGAATCAGAGCTTGGGGAAACCTGGTTGTCCTTAAATGAATACAATGAAAAAGTCTTAGAAGAGAAGTTCCTAGATTTTGCGGGAGTTATTCAGACCAATGTTGGTCTGAATATTGTTTTCCAGACCAAAGTTTTCCAAACCAATTTTGCGGGAGTTATTTATTTATTTTTTTGATACCTTAAACCGTATACGATCCATTGTAATCTCATTTCAACAACAACATTTAAAGGCCTTGAATAGCTTAGAACCTATACTTAAATCCAAAGGCCTCTGGAATGCTAGGTTATCCTTAAACAAAATGAATGAAAAAGTCTTAAAAGAGAAGTTTGTAGATTCTGGTTATGTTATTCGGACCAATGTTAGTCTGAATAGTTTTTCCAGACCAACATTGGTCTGAATATCTGGCACAGTTTACTTTTTTTTTTTTTTTTGTTTGACACCTTAAACCATTGTACTCTCACATGAACAACAACGTTTAAAGGCCTTAAATAGCTTAGAACCTATTTTAAAAACTAAAAATAGCAATTCAAAAGGTATATGTTTTCGTAACGGTGTGGGATAAGTATAAAGTTAATAATCTTAACTCCTCGCATTTAAGATTTTACAATGATGTTGACTTACGTCACGAAAAGCCAATTTCAAGTGCTTGATTGATGGTGCCAGGGTTATGGGTGACTATGGTGGTTCAGTGCATGCACATGACTTCGATAGAAATGGAATCAGAGCTCGGGAAAACTTAGTTGTCCTTAAAAAAATAGAATGAAAAAATCTTAGAAGAGAAGTTTCTAGATTCTGCGGGAGTTATTCGGACCAATGTTGGTCTGAATATTGTTTTCCAGACCAAAGTTGGTCCGAATATCATCCACAATGTATCTCTTTTTTTTTTTGACACCTTAAACCATATACGATCCATTGTAATCTCATTTCAACAATAGCATCTAAAGGTCTTGAATAGCTTACAACCTATAGTTAAATCGAAAGGCCTATGGAAAGCTAGGTTATCCTTAAACGAAATGAATGAAAAAGTCTTAGAAGAGAAGTTTGTAGATTCTGGTGGTGTTATTCGGACCAATGTTGGTCTGAATAGGTTTTCCAGACCAACATTGGTCCAAATATCTTGCACAGTTTACTCTTTTTTTTTTTTTTTCTTGACACCTTAAACCGTTGTATCACATGAACAACAACATTTAAAGGCTTTGAATAGCTTGGAACCTATTTTTAAAACTAACGATAATAATCCAAAGGGTATATGGTTTGTAACGGTGTGGCATAAGTATAAAGTTAATAATCTTAACTCCTCGCATTTAAGATTTTACAATGATATTGACTTACGTCACAAAAAACCAATTTCAAGTGCTTGATTGATGGTGCCGGGGTTATGGGTGACTATGCTGGTTCAATGCATGCACATGGCTTCAGTAGAAATGGAATTAGAGCTCGGGTAAACCTCGTTGTCCTTAAATGAATAGATTGAAAAAGTCTTAGAAGATAAGTTTCTAGATTACGTGAGAGTTATTCGGACCAATGTTGGTCTGAATATTGTTTTCCAGACCAAAGTTGGTCTGAATATCATGCACAATTTACTTTTTTTTTTTTTTGTTTCTTGACACCTTAAACCGTATGCAATTCATTGTAATCTCATTTCAACAATAGCATTTAAAAGCCTTGAATAGCTTAGAACCTATACTTAAATCCAAAGTCTCTGGAAAGCCAGGTTATCCTTAAATGAAAAGAATAAAAAAGTCTTAGAAAATAAGTTTGTAGATTTTGGTGGTGTTATTCGGACCAACGTTGGTCCGAATACATATTCCAGACCAACATTGGTCCGAATATCTTGCACAGTTTACTTTTTTTTTTTTTTTCTTGACACCTTAAACTATTGTACTCTCACATGAACAACAACATTTAAAGGCCTTCAATTACTTAGAACATATTTTTAAAACTAAAAAAAAAAAATCCAAAGGGTATATGGTTTCGTAACGGTGTGAGATAAGTATAAAGTTAATGCAATTTTACACAATTATATTTACAATCAAATAATAAAATAATTCTATA